TCCATCCATCCATCCATCGATCCATCTATCTATCTATCTATCTATCTATCCATCCATCTAGCTATCTATATCTATCTATCTATCTATCTATCTATCTATCTATCTATCTATCCATCTATCCATCTATCTATCTATCTATCTATCTATCCATCTATCTACCTAATATTAGAGTTACAATATTTCCGTCTGAAATGTACGTTAGTGGAGTAAATATATAAAGTGACATAACATGGAGATGCTTCACTAAGCACAAGTACCTTAACAGTAGTGTTCGAGTACAGTAAAGTAGAAAAAGTTCTTCCCTGATAGTGTACTGTCGGGCCAGGCGAGCATTTGTTCTGTGAGAGAAAACACAGCTGCCTCGGCCATGCAATATTAAGCCGCTGTCCTCTTTCTGTCTGTCTGTCTCTCTCACACACAGCAAGGATCCAGTTACATCAACTGTGGTACAATTTGTGCCATTACATCAAAGCAGAATTAGTTCAAGGATACCTAAGAGACATTTTGGCTTCTTGAGATGGTTTTCCTTTCCCTTTTGCATAAATGTAATGCCCACGGCTAAATTGGTGACTCTGATCTTTTGTATATCTGTCTTTGTATCTGCATGTGTGCCTGTGGTTGTTTGTCTGATGCTCTTCTCCCATAAGATGTATTCAACCTTATTTATCTCAAGACAAGATACATGTGCAAGCACGGAGGTATATTATATTACACAAGTGTGCCGTGTAGAAGATACATTATGCTATTTCAAGTCTGCACTTTGTCCTATTTATTCTCATTTAAAGAATGTCATTTAATAATTAAAAAAAAAAAATGTAATTAGGTAAAACATATATTTGGGATTGTTATCACTTCCACCACAGAGTTTCAATATGTTTTGTATTGTTTAGTAATTTTCTGTTATGCAGATTCTATCTCTAAGCTACATTTTAATTAGGGCTGTCAGTCGATTAAAATAGTTAATCGCGATTAATCGCAAATTAATCGCACATTTTTGATCTGTTCTAAATGTACCTTAGAGGAATATTTTTCAAGTTTTGAATACTCTTATCAACATATGAGTGGACAAATATGCTTTATGCTAATGTTTATTATCATTTGAACAATGACAAATATTCTCATGAATATTAAACACAACAACCTGGAACCTCTCTCATTCAATAATACAATATAAAGTGTGTGTGTGTGTGTGTGTGTGTGTGTGTGTGTGTGTGTGTGTGTGTGTGTGTGTGTGTGGTGTGTGTGTTGTGTGTGTGTGGTGTGTGTGTGTGTGTGTGTGTGTGTGTGTGTGTGATGGATCGTTGGAGCTATGTGCAACTCAAGGCATATGCTCGAACGGGAGCTGCCTGCACGCTGCAATCATGTTGCGCACTATCCGTGCTGAGTGTGCTGACTTTTCGTACAATGTCCCACTGTCTGGCTTCCTGCATAAAGTCAAGTGCTCGGCGCAGTTGTGGCGAAATGTCGCTCCTCTGTTTTCATTTAAACAGCTCCTTATATCCGTTAGCGCAGCTAGCTAGCACCAGATGCTAACAACAACAATGCACGTAAGGTCTCTCTCTCGCTCGCTCGGGCCACACATACACACCCTCCCGGTCCTCCCAACAGCCAGTCGGTGCCTGCCGGTGAGCGTGGAAGTGTGGTCTGCCTGCAGGAGCGGGGCTGTCAGCATCAGCTTGTAGATGGTATTTTAAACTCGATGCGCTCTGAAACTACGGGGCGGCCGAGGAAAAAAAAATACACATGCGTTAATCGCGTTAAAATAATTAGCGGCGTTATTTTTTTTTTGCGTTAACGCGTTATTAACGTGGGCTTTATCTTGAATATATTATATTATGTATTTGCTCAGTCATATCCCACAAGCCCACGTCTGAGAAAATGTTTCTTATTATTTATTCAGGCTTTTTAAAACGATTGTTAAAGCAGGAGAGCAACATCATCCGCATAGAGGAGTTTTTCTCTTCAGGTAGGATTTCGAGCTGGTGAATTTGATGGCTTTATTTATCGTTCATTGCACACCCACTGTATATCATGGGCCTGAGATTATAGCCTTATCTAATTTCCCATCTACATGTATTTCACGGTTCTTTTGTCCTTTTTTATTTCATGTTAGGTCATACGGTGGTTTGGATCCTGAGGGCGATACGCACTTTGTGTACTCTTACAAGTTACAAGTTCTGTATTTCTTTTTGCTACAGGCAACAGCTGACTGATACACCACATGACACCTCGACATAACTCTAACAAGAGAGAACAAAAGAGAGAAACACCATGAGGAAACACACAAACAGAAGGAGAGAGGAAAAGGGCAGTAAGTAAATCATGTTTGAGTTAAGTGATGCGAGCATGTTGGAAGAGTCCATGTGTGCATGCTGGAGGCTCTGCTGGTCACCGTATGGACGTGGAGAGCAGCACGTGTAAAAGAAAGGGTGTATGTACTCTTTCTGTTCAGGGGTGATTAAACATTGATGGCAACTTCTAAGTGTACTGAAGGAGTTTGTATTTTTCACTCATCTGTACTTTGTCTATACTCTACTAAAGATCTTAAAGCCAATCCTATTTGCATCAAAGTGCTTGTTCCTTCCTTACATAGGTTTCAACACAGCAATGTCCCAGGAGCATGTGTGCTACTTTAAACCTAAAAGTATGTACTGTATCACAAGTTCCTTACGTTCTGATGTCCTCTCCCAGGAAGCAGCGGTTGCGCAGTAGCCCCGCCCACAGCTGGACTCCCACAATGCCAAAGATGAAAAGACGAAGAAGCAGAGGAGAAGGACATTTCCCAACATGGGCAGGGTGTCCAACAGCAGCGTCACCAGGATCCTCATGCCTGAAAAGTCACACAGAAATGGAGAGATGTTATTAGAAATGATTTGATTTATTTCGAATGTTTAAAAAAATTATAATAATAATGAAATGAAACATGAGAATTATTTTACTATACAAACTTAAGAGGTGTCAAATTGATAAACGAAAATATTACTGTACTTATTTAATCCCACCCCCAATTATTAACATATATATTTATATTACATAAAAGAGGTAAACGGTAATCAAGAAGAGATAAAATAACAAACCAAATAAATAAATAAACCGTAAACACCCAGTTATGATTAAACAATTTCATCCTTGTGAAAATCATGTCCTTATACCTTTTTTTAAACAGTTTTACGTTAGGACACCCCTTGAGTTTCCTCATTCAAACTGTTCCAAAGCTTCACCCCACAAACAGAAATACAAAAACCTCGCTTGGTTGTGCGCACCCTAACATTGGGTAATTGGAATAATCCCCTTAAATTATAATTCCCTTGTCTTGATCATTTTCCAACCTTCTTCCCACGTGTTGCCTTGTAGCCCTCTGGTTGCCCGACACCCTGAATAACCTCTATTGATCTTGTGATCTTGGAAGCCACATAGCTTCGCCCCCGCAGCCAATATAATTACAAGTGGTGACGATACTGAAAGTGACATTTTGACATTTTTTCACCCTCTGGGATTTGAACTCACAGCCTCCCCGTGGCTAGTATTATCTAACCACACGTGTTCAGCGTCTATCTCCAGCTGTCAGAAGCGTTTAGCGTCAGCAGAGATGGGGATCTAGTCCCTGAGGTCGCTCACGATGTGTTCTGTCCCCTGTCACACATAGATCGCAGACTTGTCACAATGACCACGTTTAAAATAAGACGATATTACTAGAGTGTCACTGACTTTTTATCCATCCCACAAACATTATGCATTACATTAATGCACATCATGTGAACAACCTCTTGTTCTTTTTATCTTCTTAATACTGTGAGCCATGTTCATGCTTCTCCTTCGCGTCGAAAGGAGCCAGTTGAGGTGGTTCGGGCAACTAGTAAGGATTCCACCTGGGCGCCTCCCTAGGGAGGTGTTCCAGGCACGTCCAGCTGGGAAGAGACCAAGGGGTAGACCTAGGACCAGGTGGAGGGATTATATCTCTTCGCTGGCCTGGGAGCGCCTTGGGATCCCCCAGTCAGAGCTGGTTGATGTGGCCAGGGAAAGGAAAGTTTGGGGCTCTCTGCTGGAACTGCTACCCCCGCGACCCGACCACGGATAAGCGGGAGAAGATGGATGGATGGATATATTTCCTGACTTATTTGTGTAGTTCCTTGGATCTAATATACGGTGGCCAACAAGTGTAAACGCGCTACAACTATCAGAACATCCAGATCACATAACTAACCCTCCCCTCAGTATCATCCTTTGAATTCATTGCCTTCAAAGCCCCTCCCTCACTGACAGTCATCCTCATCTACCGGCCTCCTAAACCTCATCCCTCCTTCCTCTCCGATTTCACTGAATTCCTCACACTTGCCTCATCCCTCTCTCAACGTCTGTTACTACTTGGTGACCTCAACATTCACATTGACTCACCCACCTGCAAGCTGGCATCCGAATTCACAACCCTACTGGACAATTTCTCTATCACCCAACATGTCGCCTTCCCCACCCATGACAAAGGACACATTCTTGATCTCGTCTGCTCTACCAACCTCCCAGTGATTGACCTCCACCCTTCCCCATTTCCCCTCTCCGACCACAAACTCATACAATTCACCATTGCCCCCCCCCCACCCGAAACCCCTGCCCACCCAGAAACATCACCTTCCGTAATCTACTCTCCATTGACCATAACCATCTCTCCGAACTGCTATCGTCTAATCTTCCCCTGGACGCAACCCTCAGCTCACCTGATGATCTGCTCAACCACCTCAACTCCACCCTACTCACCTCCCTCAACACTTTAGCCCCCCTCAAAAATAAAACTGTTACTTTCAAGACCTCCTCACCCTGGTTCACACCCGCACTCCGTAAAATGAAGCAGCGAGGCCGCCAACTTGAACGTCTTTCAAATAAATCATCCCTCACAGTCCATTACATAAGCTACAAACTCCATTTCAATGCATACAAATATGCTCTTATTGCCGCTAAATCTGCCTACCTCTCCAACATCTTCACTGACCCCTCCCGTAACCCCAGGACCCTCTTCTCCACAGTTAACAAGCTCTTCAAACCCAGTGCTGATAACCTCCCTACTTCTACTTCCGCTACTTGCAGCTCATTCCTCCAGTTTTTCGCAGACAAAATTAACGCCATTAACCACTCCTTCTCAGCTCCATCTGACATACAAGCATCTCCCCCAACCTCCACCGCTACCATTTCTCCCCCCATCTCCCTTGACCTCCTGACTCCTCCTCCCCAGCGCCGCCTCTCCCAGTTCAACCTGGTTACCCCACTTGAAATACTCCATCTGATCGGTTCCTCAAATCCCACAACCTGCTCCCTTGACCCTCTACCCACTCCTCTCCTGAAGTCCTGCCTCCCCGTCCTCTGCCCCTATCTTGCTAACCTTTTCAACTCCTCGCTATCCCATGGAACCATCCCCTCTGCCTTCAAAATTGCTGCCGTTACTCCAATCCTCAAAAAACCTGGTCTTGATCCCTCCTCCCTCACTAATTACCACCCTATCTCCAACCTACCATTCCTCTCAAAAACTCTTGAACGCATTATAGCCAAACAAATTCACTGCCATCTCCAAACCAACCAGCTTTATGAACCCCTTCAGTCTGGATTTCGTCCTCACCACAGTACAGAAACTGCACTCGTCAAAGTCCTCAATGACCTCCTCACCTCTGCTGACACTGGTTCCCTCAATATTCTCATCCTCCACGACCTGAGTGCAGCCTTCGATACCGTGAGCCACAACATCCTGCTCACCCGACTCAGGGACATTGGTATTGAAGGTATTGCACTCAGATGGCTCCAGTCCTACCTCACTGAACAATCCCACTTCATCTCCCTCCCAAACCACTCCTCTGCCACAGCCTCTGTCACCCAAGGCGTTCCTCAAGGATCAGTACTTGGCCCCCTCCTCTTCATCATTTACATCCTCCCCCTCGGTCAGATACTCCGCCACTTCAACCTGGACTTCCACTGCTATGCTGATGACACTCAGATCTACCTCAGCACCAAATCCCTCCATAACCCACCCCTTACCCACATCGATTCCTGTCTGACAGCTATTAAAACTTGGATGCAACATAACCTCCTCAAACTGAACAGCAACAAAACAGAACTCCTCCTAATCGGCTCCAAATCCACCCTCAGCAAGGTCACTAACATAACACTCACCATCGATGGCACCATTGTTTCCCCCTCCAATCAGGCACGCAACCTTGGCGTAATCTTTGACCCCACCCTCTCCCTCGAACCTCACATCCGCCAAACAGAAAATGCAGCTGCACGTCTCCTCGCGCATACCAAATCATGGCATCACATCACCCCAGTCCTCAAAGACCTCCATTGGCTTCCTGTCTCCCATCGCATCAACTACAAAATGCTGGTCCTCACCTACAAAGCACTCACCATCTGGCCCCCCCTTATCTCACAAACCTTCTCACTCCTTATCAACCCCCACGGCCCTCAGATCCACCGCAGCCGGACTCCTATCCATTCCCACATCCACACTCTGCAGCTTTGGGGACAGAGCCTTCTCAGTGGCAGCTCCTAGGCTCTGGAATTCCCTTCCCCAAGCAGTGGCGTTTTCTCCTGGAGGCCAAGGGAAGCCAGGCTTCCCCTGTTTTTTCGGATTGTAGTTATAATTTTAATAAATAAATAAAAACACTTCCGTTTAGTTTCGGAAATTATTTGCTGTGTGTTGCTGCCGGCCCGTCTCTCCCCCATTCTCATTGAGTATTTTATAAAGAGTGAAACAGCGCCCCTCTAGATGTTATGGTGAAACAGTAGATTGCACTCTCTGTTGCGAGGGGAGGCCAGCCGAATCTGGCTTCCCTTGGTGAAAAAAAATGGAGGGATTGACCAATCAGACAAGACATCACGTCATGCCCCTGCCAACCTGTGATTGGTCAGGGCCATGCCAAGGGAAGCCAGAGGCGGCTGGCTTCCCTTGCCTCACAATCCAATCAAATCGCATCAATTTAGTGTTGCAGTGACGCATCCTAAAACCTGGAAGTAAGCTGCGCTCGGTTTCCCTCGACAGAAAGCAATGAGATTTCTCCATAGGATTTTGAAAAATAGCTCGAAATAAGGTCAGTGGAAAACGAACCTGTTAGATAAATGCAAGTTGTGTTCAGTCGGATAATATCCACATGTCTACCCTACTTTTATAATTTTTGAATCATAAATCTAATCGATAGAAGATAGATAGCGTCACTGCACCACTCTCACCGCCGTTAGAAAGTAGCAAGCAACTGAAGCAAGTGCAATTATGGAGGGTGGAGATTTGGATACTTAATCAAAAATAATTGTACTAAACTTCCACTACAGCAGCAACAACAAATACAATCTGATGACAGGCCGATGCCCAAACTGGAGCTGTGTACAGCGAGGAAAAAAGGAGCGAATCGGACGTAAAACGTTAAAGGTCTCCTGATGTAGTTTGTGAATGAATGCTTATTAGAGTTTCGGCTGGAGAGTGCGTGCGGACCTGTCGGTTAGATAACAGGCGTGTGTAAGTCCTGCATCTGTATGATACAAATGTGTGTAAAATGATACCGGGTAACTCATCTGGTTACGTTATTACATTGACCACCACACCCCCGACCCAAAAGAAAGGAGGTATTATTGGCTTCCCCTAATTTTTTCCCCACGCCACGCTACTGCCCCCAAGATCTTCGTGACCCTGAGTCCCTCACAGTCTTTCAGTCCCGCCTCAAAACACATATTTTCAACTCTGTCTACCCATAAGCCCCCCCCCCCTCTCAATCAACTTCCTCTTGATTGCCTTTTTATTTATTTTTTATTTTACTATACTTACTTGTTTGCCAGTCCTTATTTGTCTACGCTCCC